TGAACGGGACGTCGGAAGTGGGTACCGTAAAAGGAATGTGGTAGCCCGCGACACGATCTCACTGATGGTGGAGTCAAATCTTCAATCGCGAATTGCGGGTGAACGGGACGTCGGAAGGGGGTACCGTCAAAAGAAATGTGGTAGCCCCCGACACGATCTTCCTGATGGTGGAGTCAAATCTTCAAACGCGAATTGCTGGTGAACGGGACGTCGGAAGGAGGGACCGTCAAAGGGAATGTGGTAGCCCCCGACACGATCTTCCTGATGGTGGAGTCAAATCTTCAAACGCGAATTGCGGGTGAACGGGACGTCGGAAGTGGGTACCGTAAAACGGAATGTGGTAGCCTGCGACACGATCTCACTGATGGTGGAGTCAAATCTTCAATCGCGAATTGCGGGTGAACGGGACGTCGGAAGGGGGTACCGTCAAAGGAAATGTGGTAGCCCCCGACACGATCTTCCTGATGGGGGAGTCAAATCTTCAAACGCGAATTGCGGGTGAACCGAACGTCGGAAGTGGGTACCGTCAAAGGGAATGTGGTAGCCCCCGACACGATCTTCCTGATGGTGGAGTCGAATCTTCAAACACGAATTGCGGGTAAACGGGACGTCGGAAGGGGGTACCGTCAAAGGGAATGTGGTAGCCCCCGACACGATCTTACTGATGGTGGAGTCAAATCTTTAAAAGCGAATTGCGGGTGCAGGAGGAAAGTGGGAAGCGGTTAGTGAATGTAGTAGCCTTCGACAAGATCTGTTATTGATGGTTGAGTCGAAAGTGGCTAATAGAATACTGATCTGCCACACAAAAATGCGCTGAAGTCCCTTCGATCTCAAACGAGGACTTTGATAATTTTTTCATATCCATGTCCGCAATGTTGTTGGAATTGTAGAAAAAATGCAGGCAAATCTGCTATTTCATTTTTTTAGAGAAAATCCAGGTGCCAAATTTTTGACAGAACACCTTCCTACCTCAAACCAGATATTTAAGAAAGGACTTTTTTGACAGTCTTATACCCTTTATTCCTAATCCTTGAGTGAGAAACCCTAAAATCACGCAACTTGACCAATTTAGGTGGGACTTATACAGGCAAATAGATGCGCCATTTGTTAGAAAGGCACTGAGATGTTTCAGTACCTCGGAGTAAAGTAGGTAGTCGATTCCCCGTAGTTGTTTCGTATTGTTGAGCGACGTTTATGCATCGGTGTCGCACGACTACCACACTCACACCCTCCCCCTTAACATGGGTGCAAAAGTGTGCTGATATTTGTATGCGCCGCTTTATTATTATGTTCAAATTCATACATAATTTGAATGTCATATTTTAAACAATTATTAATTATGATCAGTTTTAAATATGCGGAAACGGAAAATAGCATTTTTGAAAAAAATGGAGAAAAAATGTCAAAGTTAAAAAACTAAATTTTTTTCGCAAAATCTATTTTGATTCCGTTAAAATTTTTGAAGTGTATGTACATTAGGCATAAAGGATGTAAGGCTTTCAAAAATGATTTTTTTAATATCTGGTTTGAGTTAGGAAGCTGTTCAGTCAAGAATTAGGCACCTGATTTTTGGAATATCTTAACAAATATTAAAGTTACAATGCGCAGTATTTTTATTGTTGTATGAAGACGCGCCCCCGAAAATTCGCCCCTAAGAAAACTCGCCCCACGGTAGATTCGCCCTCTGATTGTGCATAATGAGATTCACAACTAAAAGTATCCAATCATTGAAATTCCACACACATATCAGAGTTTACCCTTTTAAGTTTTAAGAATACTCTCCACAGAAAAATTCCATCTAAAGAGAAAACGACTTTAAGTAATTGAGTCTATATATATGGTAAACAGAAAATGTATTTTCAGCAACGTTTATATTTGATCCGCACTATGGTAAATTCTCCCCGGGATACTCGTTCTGGTAATTCTCGTTGGAAAACTCAACTCGGTAAATTCGCCCTCGATGGTTGCTCCAGAATATTCGTCATGAAAATTTGCTTTCGGGATACTTTCCCGTAAGAAAACTCGACCCAGATATATTTGAGATTAATCGTGACAGCAAATTTTTCGAGGGCAAACCTTCCGGAGGCGAATGCTCCGGGGGCGAATCTTCCGGGGAATAGTTTTTCTACGTTACCTGCGTCCGTGGTGAGATTTCAAACTCTCAGACGAACGGACAGAATTCATGCTACATTTTCATGAATATTCGTTACATAATATTATGTTTTCTTCCCCCAATTTAAATTAATTGTAGAGCGAGAGCATGTTGGTTATTAATTAATCTTCACTTTCTTAAGATTTGATAATGGTCCTTCTCGGCATTTTCTCGCCCATGTTTCTAATTAAATTATTATTCATAGTAGAATAATCGATCATCAAATTGAATGCACATTTATTACGTGTGTGCAAATCCCGATTCCTCTATGAGATACGGACAGGGTAAGAAATTTTAATCTGGTGCCAATATCTGATTTCACAAAGGGGAGGTAAGCACCTACAAAAGACCAACCTTGAATAACACTGAATGGCAATCGAGAAGAATCTCGGGACCACTTGCACTTTTTAAACTATTTCACAAGAAAGTGATACGAACAACAAAAGAGAGCGGTACACTTTCTATTTCTATTAATCAAAACGATCCCACGAAAAGCAGCAAAAAATGTTAATTCTGATCTAATTACAAGAAGTGTGGATTTAGGACGTGTAAACACATTTCCAAGTGAAACTGCAAGTCAGTCATCTTGGCGGACTGACCCTTGAAAATTGCTTTCGCTTCCGCAAATAATTCTTGAAATTCTACCTGTTACGACGGTCTCTGACCAACATCGATCTTTAAATTCATTAGCCGGCTTTTATTAAAAGATGTAATTGGATGGTCTTTACATAAATGATTTAAATGTCTGAGTTATAATTTATGGTATCTTTTGATGGCAGTTTTAATGCAAAACGGAAGAACTTTGTTTATTTTCAATTGCGCTTGGAACCTGATTTACTCTGAAATTAAAAACGAATTCGCGCTTGTTTTTTGAAAAGGGTGTGGGAAATTACTCTTCTTGGTACAATTAAAAGGCGTTACCGCAATTTTGAGACACGCGCTCATTTACTTTAAGAAACGCTTATTACAGCATAATGAAATAAATTCCGAGTTCGAATTACGCTGAAAAGTTAAGAATCGTAATTACGCAGTGGTATGGTTATTTATTATAACAGAAACGATTTGTTCCAATTTAGAAATTGGGCTTATTTATAGATTATCGGCTTAAAGAAAATACTTATTGAAGCGATATTGGATTATATTACGGAAGGTGGCACAAAAAGCGCTCGATTAGCAAACCACTAAGAGAGCAAAGGAAATGGTTGTCAATTTTCAACGCTTGTCGCGGTAATTGAATTAGTGATGACCTCGGTCTAAAGTGTTGCGGCCACTTCGACAGGACGAAGTCGGAAAGTTAGCGCTCGTATTTCGCCTGTGGCGGGGGCAGCCATCTTCAGGCCAATCTGCAGATAGCTATTGCACCCCCGAGTGGGGCAAAGGAGGGGGCCTATCACTGGTTGCGCACCAACGACCAACTCGTCTCGCCAACTGCCGGCCGTCATATAGAGGGTAGAGGTCCGGTTACTCACAGTGACCAATCTAAGTGTATTTGATGCAGACATGATTACGCTCATCGTGGTACTGGTGCTCTTTCTGGTGTGGTGGCTGGGAAAGCCGAAGAAGATTGCCTTTACAGCTCCAGGTCCCAAACCTTGGCCAATAATCGGAAGTCTACATCTTCTGGGCCAGCACGAATCACCCTTCGAAGCATTTACCGCGCTTAGTAAAATCTACGGGGATGTCTTCAGCATTACGTTAGGATCCACACCGTGTGTCGTTGTCAATAACTTCAAATTAATTCGAGAAGTTCTTATCACTAAGGGTGCCGAATTTGGTGGTCGACCCAATTTTATGCGTTTCCACAAACTGTTTGGAGGAGATCGTAATAATTGTAAGTAATTGAAACTTTTATATAATTCTTTAATTGTCGTTGGCGAACCTCTTCCCATCCATAAACAACGGTTGTTTGGATCCTAAGTGCAAAAATTCATCAGAGCTCACTGACCGACCGGTCGATATTCTAGCTTATTCGCGCATTTAGATCACCTAGTAAATTTAATGTAGCGCGGTATTTGTTTAAATAAATAAACTCGCTTCATAAACAACTTAGCTTTCTATGATTTTATTTGATTAATGAACTTGTTTCATTCACAGATTACTTCACTGCTTGATATCCATGAACTTGGAATTCTAATGAAACTAAATCTGATCAGTACCTCATGCGCTTGTTAGAAAAATTTATCGCCCCGTTAAAAAATGTAAACATAAAGCAGTTTAACTAATAGCCAGAGGTCCGAAGGTTATTTCTTTTAACGATGGGACACGCGCCAATTAGTACTAATAAATAATAATCCTTTCGTTAACTGAAGGACCGCTTCTGCCTTTCAGGCAGTAGACCCTTACGGTAATCAGAGCGATGTAAAAAACACCTACCGACTATGATCAATGGGAGTTATTCTATATAAAACTCATTTAAGCAATCATAGAGAGTGCTGACCCTATATTTTGGTTAACGGTGGTTTGTCCTTGGCCTTCATCAAGATCTTCTACTTTCCCACAGTTGTTGAGTCTATTTCCGCGCTGACTATTACAGTAATATGTTTGAATAAAATTAGTTCGCTAGGAAGAGCTTTTTTGGTAATGTGGTGAATAACCGGTTTAGTATTATTAACGAGTTGTCGCGTGTCATCCGTTGCAAATTCTCAATAATTAAAAAAAATCACAAATTTTCTTGAAAATATCCTGCTCTTAAGTCGCGATTGTAAGTGCTAGGTCAGCCACGAAGCAGCCTTGAGACTGCATTTTTATGCCCTCTAAAGTCTTGCACTTGTTTCAGCACTTGCCCTCTGCGATTGGTCCTCCTTGCAGAAGACACGTAGAAGCATTGCGCGCATTTATTGCGCTCCCAAATTTACATCTCTTCAATACGACGACGTCAATAAAGTTGGCACCGAAGCCGTTGAAGTGCTTTTAGTCGAATTACGAAAACAACCCATGGGTCAACCAGTACAAGTTAAACCTTTGATTCTGGCAGCGTGTGCAAATATGTTCACTCAGTACATGTGCTCGACAAGTTTTGATTATCGGAACGTCGAATTCCAGAAGATCGTCAGATACTTCGACGAAATATTTTGGGAAATTAATCAAGGTTACGCGGTGGATTTCCTTCCGTGGTTGCTTCCGTTTTACTCCGGCCACATGAGGAAGATATCCGACTGGGCGAGCGTAATTCGAAAATTCATTCTAGCCAGAATAATCGATCAACATCGAGCGTCTCTAGATCCGGGAGTTCCCCCAAAGGACTTCACCGATGCCCTTCTTTTGCATCTCGAAGAAGACCCTAACATGAATTGGCAGCATATTATATTCGAATTAGAAGATTTTCTTGGCGGGCACTCGGCGGTAGGCAACTTGGTAATGGTAACCCTCACAGCTATAGTCAAGTATCCAGAAATTGCTAAACGAATTCAAGCAGAAGTGGATTCGGTAACGGCCGGCACTCGGTACCCTAATTTGTTTGATAGATCAGCGATGCCGTTTACGGAGGCGACCCTTTGGGAAACACTACGAACAGCATCCTCCCCGATTGTACCACACGTTGCGACAACAGACACAGAAATCGATGGTTACACCGTTAAGAAAGGGACGATGGTTTTCGTAAACAATTACGAGTTAAATGTCGGCGCCGATTATTGGAAGAACCCTCAAGAATTTAATCCGGAAAGATTCATATCCGAAGACGGAACAATTGTAAAGCCATCACACTTCATTCCATTTAGCACAGGAAAACGTACATGTATTGGGCAACGACTCGTGCAGTGTTTTAGTTTTATAATCTTGGCCACGCTTCTGCAGCATTATGACATTAGTTCCACAGATAAATGTGAGGTAAAGCCTAGTTGCATGGCGGTTCCACCTGATTGCTTTCGTTTAGTGTTCACTCCTAGACAAGTTCATTAAAAATTCGCGGCTTCTCTAATCTATGCATACTTGTGCTTTTATATAATAAGAGTGTAATTCCATTGCATATTAGTAATAGTACCTGTGCTGTTAGTGTAAAATTACAGTCAATCCTGTACTTTGTTAATAATAGTGTCGCCAATATTATTCTTCGTTTATAGGTGTAATTGTAAAAAGTAATTAGTAATTTATACTTTAATCTTAAGTCTCCCCAGCGTTAAGTCCAATATTATGAGACTGAATAAATTATCTATTTTATTATATAATTTTTGTTTATTCCACGTTCCAGAGGTAAGCGGAAGACCTTCTACATATAGTTTGTGTCTTAACGTGCCGCTTAATAATTTAGTAAAGAAAGTTCGTCGAATAGCACCAAGAAAAACGTCGATCTAAACATCACACACTTGTAGGAAAAACAAGTTTGACGTTGAAACTGCATAGCATAATCCATTTTCTTCTAAGTACTCTATTTTGTAACTCCGCTCGAGTTTTGTATAATAAAACCGATTACTTGCGTACATATTAATAACAAAATTGTTACTTGTTTAGTTAATGAAATGCGCGTACCAGGCTAACCTTGAAATCTTAGCGTAAATATAAACAATTTGATAGTTTTAAATTCACGTTGGGACTTGAATCGGAAAATTGGTTCATCGAAAGGACGTCCACCATTGAACTGGGGACAAATGTTCCAAAAAAGTCGAATGTCACAAATAAAGAGAAAAAACGTGGAAACTCAATGGAACGTTTCTAATACACTGTTGAGAGTCGTGCACCACTCAAACAATTATAAGTGTCATCTTTATGCAAAACCATACGTAAAGTTAAGTTATGCCAAATTTTGAGTTTTCCAAAAAAAGGGGACCAAGTGCGATATAGGCATAATGTTACTCTTTAGCTTACCATCACTAGAATAAAATTCCTTATGCGCAGTGGAAAAAAAGAATAAAAAATGATCCTCCTTTTGATGCATGGAGCGAAAGAACATATTTCTTCAACAATGTTCTCCATTCCTCCTTTGCCTAGGATTTCCTTTTGTATAGGTTCAGTAGAGTAGTTTCATCGCACTTCAAAGCCTACTTATTATATTTGTCAATCTATAAGACATTCACATGTCTGTATAAATTTGTACCTGCATCTTAGAAATACATTACGCACTATTCTAACAAGTAAATATGTAAAAAAAATAAGCATTTTCCCCAAATAAACCGACAATCCATAACTTAATATATAGGAGTATGCTGTTGCTACTCCAAAAGATGGTGCACCTCTCGACGGATGCGAAAGAGTTGTTGACCAAATTTTTTATTTGGTATTGTAGTTCCAAATTGTCAAGGATTAAATTTCTTATCGTTATTTGCATGTTTAAAGATACTGAAGTACCAAATTTTGTTGAAAGCAGAATTTTTTCCGCACTTACGATCTTTTGGATATGAATTTTGAAAAAAATGTTTGCGAAAGCAGAGGGGGCATACCCAAAAACCTAGCAAAAGTGTTCAATTCCCTCTTGCTATGTCTTATGGTTGTTGAGCAAAGAATGCAAGTAAAAACGAAAATTTTAACACATTGAGGGGCATAGCTTTCAAACGAAATACTTGGAACGCTTGATTTACTGTTTAAATAATTCCCACCCATTTCTTTTGTAATCTCAGTTTAATACATTGCTTCAAAATCGGAATTCGTAAAATACCTACTCAACTTTTCAGTGTTTCCCACTTGGCAGCAAGGTTTTTTAAAATTCGCGTGACCAAGCTGAGTTCCCCGTAAAAGTTTTATTTTCACGTACAATCCTTTAGCTAATCCTCAAATATACTTAGCCAGGCATATTTACATTGCAACTGTACATTCATCTAATTTAGATTTGTTGTTGATGGAGATACCCGCTTAGTCTCATAATGACGTAATAAAATTGCAAGTTGAAACTTGCCGAAATCGATTTCATTGAACGGAATTGGTTACTACAAACACCTCCGCGATCCTTTTTTAAATATAGGATGCGACTACCCTATAACCCAATTAAAATTTTGCGGTGTCTGTCCGTCCGTCCGTCCGTCCGTTAGCACGATAATTCATAAACGAATGGACCGATTACGATGAAATTTTGCAGAATTTATCAAAATTGTAGATCAGAGTTCGTGAATTGGCAATGTAGACCAAAAAATAAAGTAGGCCCTTTTGACATCTCCGTTATTTATGAAACGAATTGCACGAAATTCAATATGCCCATAGCTTTAGCCATATAAAACACAATTCCAAAAGTTGAGCCTAATCGATCAGCGTTCACAGTGCCCTTTGCGCATCTCGACCATTTACAGACCGAATTACAAACTTTCTTATTTATGAAGGTATTTAAATGAAATTTGATACATAGCCACTTGAAATAAAACCAAATTTAAAGCGAGTTTCACAATTTGGTTTTGCGCATGCGCAGTGCCAACTTTCTTATTTATGGAGGCATTCAAATGAAATTTGATACATAGCCACTTGAAATAAAAGCAAATGTAGCACCATCTTCCAAATTTTGGTTTTGTGTAGGATGTGAAGTGCCAACTTTCTTATTTATGGAAGCCTTTAAATTAAATTTCATACATATGCACTTTAAATAAAAGCAAAACTAACATCAGGTTTAAAATTTGGTTTTGCACAATGCTATAGCCATACCCAGGAGCTCGTTTGCTATATTTGTTTAATTTATTTACTAAACTATTTCGGTTTAAAAGCGTTGTGTCCGGGTGATAAAGCCATAAAAACTCAAAACTTTAAGTGAGATAACTGAGTTGAGTTACCCCGCTGTCTATGGGCATAGAAACCTAATACTCAAATCGAGACGGTTTTTCATATTATTATAAAAATGCCTCAATAGATTCATTCGATTTATTTTTATTTTGACATAAGTCAGTCACACGTAACAAACATTACGGACTATTGCACCGGTCCAAGTATTAGCGGCCCACTGGACAAGTGTCTGGCTGAACACCAGCCCAGTCGTCGCTGGTATCCATCGCAGGTCCGGATTAAGGTGTAAGGTACCCTGAACTGTTGTTCTATGTTGAAACAATTTCCTCGTTCGTGCCAGAAATCCCTCCCGCGCACGTGGAATTTCCACAAGATCGACTCTTTCACATAAAATGTCACTTTGGCACTTTGGCGTGACGTGTGGAATGCGCTTAAAAAGATGTACCTACTCTGGCGTTAATTATTTTACTGAAAATGGAATTTAATATATTCCCTTTATGAAATTAAGTAAAGTTAAACATTCTTTTTAGCGCATTTTCCAGCTCGTATTTGAAAGTTCTGGTAACTTAACCAAGAAAATTCTTCATGATTAATATGCGCACGCGCACGCTGCGCAATATCAACTTTCTTATTTATAGAGGTTATAGAGGTTTTTTGAAATTTTAATCACAGATGGTTCTAGTAAAGACAAGCATATCGCATATTGTAAAATCAAGATGTACGCATGCTCATCTTTCTTATTTATGAAGATATTTTTGAAATTTTAACCTAAGATTCATCTAGTAAAGATGAGCATATCGCATCAGGTGTGCGCATTGCGCAATGCTAAGTTTCTTATTCATAAGTATATTTTATGCCATAACTTATTTTCCTTTGTAAACATAAATAGTATACTTTAATTAACTTGACCCGCCCTTACTAAGCAACAAAAAACGTCATACCACCCTTTATGTCTAATCGAGAGAAACTCCTTTTCCAATGTTGGTAGTGATTTGTTGAAGTTGCTTGTTTGCATCAAATGATTTGTGTTAAAAAGGCGTTTTAATAATAATATTATTTATATAACTTTTACCTCTGTCTTTCGAAAGCAGGTTCCTTTGATCCTAACTGGTATTGTATTTTTACGCTTTCCAGCCTGGCTGCAAAGGTTACTGTATAGATAGAAGCTTCAGTCCTTGCAGATTAGAATCATCCCATATTTTAAATATAAAAATATAAACACAATTTTGTAAAAAGTTTTCCCAGCCAACCAATGGGTTTTGTGGGTGTTATAACTTTACGGATGTCATTGGAAGATGGATTTGCTCTCACCTGTTTTTGCAGAAGTGGTTTTTACCTCCTTTGGAGAGTAGATCCCTCTTTAAATCTCTACTTATTCCAAGGATTCCCAAACTATTTTGAACCTGAGACCCCTTTTTCGAAATACCCAAATTACTTTAAAAAACCTATCCCTAGTTTTTTCTTATGGATACAAAATACCTAGCCATTTAAAAACTTGTAGGAACCTGTGCACGCTTCTCGACTTATTGAATTTTTTTAAAGTACTAGAACGATACTACCTACTAAAATATTAGTCATTCTTATAACAAGTTGGTACACGTAACACGACTCATACAGTATCTTGAAAGTTTCAAATACTTATGTCGATTAGACCTTGTCGACTTCCAAAATCAGTTTTTGTTTATGTCGACCCATGCAAAACAGATTTCGGCCTTCAGGGGTTGATACCGGCTACTTTGGTAATCCCTGCTTTAATCCAAGTCAGGCTGTTGTAAAGATAATTGTAGAAATTATAATTTGTCTCTTGTTTTGGAGGGAGAGTTTCACCTTTAAATCTGAAACGGCTTGTCTTCAGAAGTTATAATGTTATCCTAGTCCTTGGAGGGCATATTGGTTCCACTAGCCTTTGAATGTGCATAATTTGTCTTTGCAGAAGTGTTTCTTATATTTTACCGTAATATTATAAGATTTTTCGGCCCGTTACAAAGGCAATTATAGACTTTATAATTTTTTATGCTTAGCGTGATTTCATAAAACCTCATAATAGGGAAATCTTGAAGTTACCCTTGCGATTAACTTGAACTTAACCTGTAGAACCTCTCTTTGAAGAAATATTTTTTTAGAGTACGGTTTTTAAAGATTTTCCAGATTCTCTCAAATGATATTGTAGTACCTCTTCCTTTAAGAGGTAAATACGTTTCCATGGCCTCTGATGAGCATGATCTGTCTTTGAGAATTCGTTTCTTATTTTTAGTATGACTGTTGACAGTTTTTATGTGTGAAAAATACCCTTTATTATATTGACTTCGGTTTGGAACAACCGCCTGTGACTATCATCGTCGAGATCATCGTTCAAATGGTACTGCCCAATGTCTTCCTCCTTGTTCGGGCATTTCCATTTTCAAATGTTCGTACATCAATTTTGAATATTCCACTTTCAAACTCTCCAGTTGTATTTGCAAGTCGTCTGGTAATCATTCCCCGATTAAACAATAGAAAATCTTCAACCAGTTTATTTTTCAGTATT